AAAATTGATGTAAGAAAAGTTCTTGGGCATTTCTCTCGCCAATTTACCATCTATTTAGCTAATTTAAAATAATTACCTCCAGCATATACAGAGAGATTTCCTTCTCTCTTTTTCACTTGAATTTTATTTTTACAGAAAATGCCAACACACTGTACAGATGAGGTATCAGTATTCAATTCCCAAAATGTTCATACTGTGTTGAAATACATTGATTGAATCAGTTTAAGTTGGGAGACAATTTTTATTTTTATGGAATTAGGGTGAGTATTTTGTACAGGGAACACCAATTAAAAATTATATAATGTAAGTCTAAGGGAAAATGAGACTCGACTTAGGGACATTTTGACTTAGGGACACTCTTGATGCACCAATTATGTCAACATCTTGGGGTCTCACCGTAATTTTCTTCAGCAAAATTCATTTATCAAAAGTAGCAAGAAAGTCTGTTATCTTTATGTGAAATTTTGGAAAGACAATAATGGCAGTTGAAATTATCTCATGAAAAATAAATGTTGGCTTTTCCTGTAAATGACAATTGAAAAAAAAAATGTTCACCTGATGAAATACATTTTATTAAATTTCTCATTCTGAAAAACCTTTCTTCAAGCCAACATTTCTAATTTTTTGAAGACATATTCCACTATATAGAGGTTACATTGGTTCTTGACTTAATTTTTGAAAAGAAAATGAAAGTTTCAAGTACGTGCCATACAGTCTTTCAAACAAATTTTTTTGCACCCACAAACATTTCATGAAACTTTGCTGGTATGCAGAAATTCTTTGGAGAATTTGCCAGTCTGCAAAAAATATTATAGAAATTAGCTGAGTTCTTCTCAGAACGTACAAGTATCTATATGCTGCATGCTGTTCCTTAAATTTTATTTATTTATTTATTTTCAAAAATTTCAATCGATCAAAATGGAGCTCCAATAAAGTGGGAGGAAGTTATAGTCATGACTTTAGATCCTTCAGATTTCGGGGATTTTTATCAGACCCATACATTTAATTGAGGTACATTCATGGAAAATCAAAAATGGATATATTATTTGCTTTCAATTTGTCATATTCCTCATAAAGCTCTTATATAACCTTTCTCCACGTGGAAAACATTCCTGCTTCATTTTGTCTTTTTAACTAAACTGGTCTACACTAAATCTATGGATGTGAAGTGAATGTTTTTGACTAGCAAAAATTTTTTTTCATTTAAAATTCAATTTTTAAGAAACAGATACTGTACATTATATGAGTCAATATATGACAGAAAAATCTTTGTCCATTAAGAATCTTTTCCAATACAACGTCAAAGTCAAGCAATATGTTAGAGTCTGGGCCTTGAAGGTTTCAAATCACAATCTCAACTTGCTTTAATTGAAGCTGTAAAATTATTATGGGGAGAAGTATAATAATAATTATTATTATAATTATGGGGGGGGGGGGGGGGATTAACGCGTGAAAAACCACGCGAAATTCAAGGACCACCTGCATAAATATTATTTGCACACTTCTCGAGCTCATGAAGACTGATCAATGCCACGAGATTTTGAAACATCACATCAGGTATTTGATCTTTTTTTTTTCAAATTGTTCCTCCCCCACAAAAGCTTTTGACAATGATAAAAGGATAGATGATTGGAAGTGTACCGCATCAGTGAAATAAAACATTTAGGTTCAAAAACCGAGAAATGTTCGCGTGCTTTATGAATTTGCTGGTGATATAAATGCTCGTAAATATTTCAAGTAATATCAGAATATTCTCTGTGAACATCCTTTCTCATATACAGTCGTTATTAGGTTTTAAACATTTTTTGATTTGATAACCGTGTCCCGATAATAAATGCGAAGTTGATTGCAACTAACTTAAACGCATTTTTTTTAACTTTGAAGTCGTCTCTGTAAGATTTGAAGATGATTTGAAAGTGTACATTTTAGGTCATGTATATATTGTACTGAATTTTTTAAAATATTGTGCTATAGTCAAAAGCAAGCCATGCGTAAAATTAATGCAAGCGCATTCTTGAACGAAATTTAGCGAGAAAACCTCGGATAATATTTTGCTCATGTATTTATTTTTATGTAGTGGAGGTACCATGATTCATTTATGACAATATTTCATCATTTTGTTATCGCTGTTCCACATTACCGCGCAAAAAATTACAAAATGATCAAAAGTATTGAACCTTTTTGCGTTTATGCACAGGGAAAATATCAGCAACCTTCAATTATACTCACCAATGCCTTGACAACCATTTTAGTTTTCCCTTTGTCTCTTTCTGAATGAAAGTAAAACTGATTTTTTGCACCTAAAAACTGTCCGAATCGAATCGGTTCTGATGACCATCAATAACTGCGGAATTCCAGATGAATGTCAGGCTTTTTGAAGTCCTTGTCATGGACAGATGCACCGAATTGATCATTTATGCCTTCCGCTTGCAGAAATCCGTCCTTGAAGGTCTTTCGTGTCTATATTGATATTTCCGAGGAAATGTTTCTCTCGGTTGCAGTGAATGAATTGTTTCCAATGACTTTCGTTTTGGATTGAATATATAGGCAGTACTTCTTTTTGTAGAAGTACTTTTTTTCGCATTTCAACGCCGTGCTGACCGAGAACAAACGCGAATATTTTTTTTTCTGATTCCGCGGTCAGGTCACGCGTTTGCCATTCATCGGAATGGAGACCTCGATGGAATTCGTGATGAAGGAAAAGTTCTGCAATTTCTGAATTTAAATCCCATGCATTTCCATCCAGAACTTTGGGAAAAGGCCTGTAGATTATTGTTAAAACGATTCAAATCTAGCCCAATTGATTTTTTTTTCTGAAAGAAGCGACGAGTCGAGGAAAATCATTCTTCATCTGAATGTATTTTTACGGAATTTAATTTCCCGTACTGTAAATAGATAACTTGTAAAGTATCCGAATTTTTCTTCTTCAAAGAATCTATAATTACTTTGAAGGAAATCGGAAATAATAATGTTTTAACACAATTTTTTTCCTGTACACTGAAAAATAGCTTCTCGCATTCTACAATTGCATGCAAATAAAGTGAATGCATTACTTTTTTCGATGACCTGTCAAAGCTAAAAAAATTGACACAACGTCGCAATTCAAAATTAAAATTCACAAAATCTCTCAATTCGAAGATAACATGGAAAAATTATACTTGGAAGATCTCAAACTAGAGCAATGCATTAATTTTCCTTCACTGAAATAATTTAGTGAATAATTGAGTCCTGATACTTTTTTTCTGCGCTACAGTATTTATTTCCACATTATTTAGTGGAATTCAAGCTTAAATTTGTTGCGTGAATTGTATTCCGGGTTCCCTTTTTTTTTCAAGAAAAATGTGAATCACAGCTAATTATTTTGTTGTCGGATTTTATTCCGAATTGGTCTCTCGGTTTTCATTTTAATGGAAAATTATATGGAAGCGGAATTAATTTCTCGACCAGGAAGAAATTTTGAGCTTCTGAAAATTTTCAAATTATGAATTGAGGCTTTGAATTTTATTCAGTAAATTAAGCGTTCGAATTTTTTCACGAAACATATTTTCATCACGTAATTTTTCAACATTTAGAAAAAAAATACTGCTTTTAATTTACTGTCGATTGTCGAATGATGGATGAATTTGATGAAAACTTACTTTTTCATCATTAAAATAACCTCTCCTCAGACCAGGGCATTAAATTTCTCAAACCCGCTGTCATGACCTTCATCGTCATTTTCATGAAACGAATCGCATTTATTAGTTCCTCAATGTTTTTTTTTTTTACTATAACGGTATCTGTAAAAGTATTTCCTGGTTGATGCTGCCTGAGAAATGATGAAATATCAGAAGTGCATTTTCATCTCGCTTCCCGATGGATATTTTTGAATTGTCTGGATTATAAACTTAAAATATTGTGAAGACGAATTTCGAATCAGGCGCTTATGTAAGAATTTTCAAAAATTCGAAAAAAAAAAATTCTGCGTTATTGTATAAGTATGCTGCTGTAAAATTTGAAAGGAATTTCAAGAAGTGTCATGGTTGCTTTTTCGCGAATTTTCATCGCAATTTGATGTATAGTTTAAAATCGTTTGCAGTTCCATAAGACTCAAATCAGATTCCACCCTTTGTTATGCATATGAAAATATTAAAAAAATAAAACTGGGAATCAGGTGTAGAGGAAAGAAATTTCGAATTTCTCACAGAGCAAACAAAAGCTGTGCCACAACTTTTGTTGTTGGAAATTAAATGCGATTTCAGAAAATATGGTGGCGTGCTTTTCCGAGTTTTCAATGGATTCTATGAATTGAAATTATTTTTTCCCTCTTCAGATTTTACCACCAGTTATCAAATAATTTTTTTGAAAAGTGAAAAACTGGGAATAATCAGGCGTGGAACAAAATTCAGAATTCATCACGAAGCAAATATAAAAGCTGCGTCATAAATTTCCCATTTTGCAAAATCCACGA